GTGATGGTATGCCTTTGGAAATCATGAAAGAAATATGAAGAAAAATGTAGTTTTGCATCTATTAAGAGGAAATATGAGTAGAAGAAGGATCAAAGTCCAATTTACCAATTGTGAACACATGAACACCATTACAACACATCTGAAAATATGATTTTAAATCGCTAATAATATATATTTGAAAAAGGAAATAGAAGGAGGAATGTGATGTGATTTACTTGTTGCCTAGTTGAAGAGTTTCTATAAAGGTTCTTCTCTTTTTATCTCCTCTATCACCAAAGCTCACTCTTTTGCTCTTTCTTTCCTCTCAACTGGATATGTAAGTGTGTGAGTGTGTTTTGTGCTCAAAAGTGTAGAGAGAATTGGGGAGCATCTATTTACACACACTAAATACCCTCTTTGCACATCCTTCTCACTACACACACCAAAAAAATTAATTCCTAATTAATTTACTCACTACACACACGGTTCATTCCACATCTACCCTCATACACACACACACACCCTCGACCCCAAACCCAGATCTCCCAACGGTGCAAATACACACAGCCATTGAAGCTGGAGCTACATCTTTAATCTTGAAGCTTACCGTGTTGAAGACATTACCCCATAGCTGAAGCTTACCGTGTAGATAGAAGCTTCGCACAGCTTTCATTCCCAAAGCTGCATCCATCAAGACATCCCATTGAAGCATTCCAACACATTTTCAATCCTCATTCGTATTTTGGTGAGTTTACTTTTCAATCCTCATTCCTATTTAATTTGCAATGTAGAGTTTTGTTTTTATCATTTTGAAAACGAATGAAGGCCCACGGAGTGTAAACAAACCGTTCGGAACTGGTTTTCCAAAATTAAGGAATTTTTTCGGAAGTAGGAATCCGAAATTACTGATTTATTTCAACAGTAGGTTTCCGAATTTTTTTGACTATTTCGGCAGTCAACTTCCAAATAATTTAAATTCGGACAACAATCAACCTCCGAAAATAATTTTTTGTTTCGGTTTTTAACTTCCGAACAGTATATATAATTTCGGTTTTCAACTTTTGAACATTTTTTTTTCCTCCATTCTTTTGTATATTCTTTTTACACTTGTGGTAATCTGTTATTGAGTGATAAATAATTTGAGAAAATGCTTTAAAATTTTAATTATTGTAACATAATTTATACCTATATGAATCCATCACTACATATTCTATTTGAGATTGCCTCTTCAAAACTTGTTTGAGTTTCAATGGGTACTAACATGGAATTGAAAAATGGTATAGCTTTGTTTGGGGATAGAATTAGGGAATAAGAGCATTAGTAATGCACTAGGATCGATTATATATTTTTTTTAATTTTATTTTTAACAATGTGATACTTAATGTGTTTATAATTATATATATTATGAGATTATTGTTGTATTATGTTTGATCAAGATGATGGTCATCAAACATATTAATTTTTGCAGATAATATGGATTTTGAATATCAACAATGTGTCCCACCTATTGCTTCAAATAGACGACGTTGTGAATTGGATGTTGACCATGAACGGGGATGAAGGCGTGGGCGGGGACGAGGTGGAGGGCGTGGACGAGGTCGTGATCCAGTTTCGGTAGAATATGATATCCCCAGTGCCAGTCGAAGCCGAAGCCAAAGACGAGTTCAAGGTGATAATATGCCTGACATTGCTGTGGAGGACACCTCTTTACCCGATTCTCCTACTGTCCAGGAAGAGTACTTTACTCATGCTTTTCCAGGTGGACCGACTGATCCATCAATACTGCGGAGTTTCAATAGTCATGTCGCTGCAGCTATTTGGCACGGGGAGGTAAACATTCCTGAGTAGAAGTGAAATTCATTTGTATATGAGGTTTTTTTGTGTGAGTGTTGTATAGTAGTTTCTAATGAGATATCATTTGTGTTATAGGAACGAGGGCCCCTAAAGTGTCATAATCACTCTTCGAAGATCCTTGCATGGCCATGGTGGTCAGTAGACAACAACAGCAGATTCAAAGCCATTATTGAGTAGTCTGGGCTGTCACAGTTAGCTCGTTGCACTTATCGGTTCGTCAACAAGCTTCTAATCTCTAGTTTTGTTTAGAGATGGCAACCTGAGACAAACACATTTCACATGACAATTGGTGAGATAACCTTGACCCTGGATGGTGTTGGCACTATTCTTGGCCTTCCCATTGTAGGCAAATCAGTCAGCGTACCAGATGTGATAGATCATCATGCAGTTACACTACTGGTTTATGGCTTGGGGATTACTGAACGTGCAGCACATGAAGAGGTTTCTACTGCTAGTGGCAATTCAGTCAGGCTTGAGTGGTTGTGAAATCAGTTTGCTGGTGTCACAGATTCAGACCCCGAAGAGGTTATACAGTGCACTGCTAGAGCTTATTTTTTGTTTCTGTTGGGATGTACACTCTTCAGTGACAAGAGTGGCGGCAGGATTCCTATTGTTTACCTTGGCTTATTGATGGATTTGGGATCCATTCATACTTACGCCTAGGGTGCTGCTGCATTAGCATTTTATACAAACAGTTGGGGTATGCTAGCCGGTCCGATGTTAAGCAGATGAGTGGTTATATGACTCTTTTGGAGGTGTGGATTTATGAGCACTTCCGAGCATTCCGACCTCACCAGAACATGGGCTACAATGAAGACATGCCACACGTGTACCATTGGGCATCTAGGAGAGAGGCGGGTTCCTCCATTGATCATTTGAAATCTTTTCGAGCCGAGCTTGACAGTTTGGTAGCTACTGATATAAGTTTACTCATCCTGAGATAATTTTAACACGTTCCATTTATCTTACCCTTTATATGCTTTAATTCAAAAACACTTTACGTTTACAGGTTATTTGGGATCCATTCCACAGTTGCAGAGACCGGTATCCGTGTAACCCGGTTACGTTCTACCATGGATGCTTAAAGTGCTTAGACGTTGTCAAACCTTATCATCTAGATAGAGTTCTGAGGCAGTTTGGCAGGGTTCAAACCATCCCAGATGCACCGCTAGCTCCCAGTCGTGGTGCTCGAGGTAATATATTTGCATGATATACAGTCATGTATAGATACTTGGATAGGATTTGGAAGGCTTGGGATAACCACGTGTTATCTGAGCAACAGAGGAGCACACCAGTTCGTCAGCCTTGGGAATGTGTACTGGGTTACATGGATTGGTATAAGAATATCACGCACCTATATGTTGAGTACACTGATGAACCGCGTGTCCATGACCATCAGGATTTCAGCCAACATGTCGACGTAATATATTATCCTCTCTTATGCATTTGTAATTTGCTTTTTATTTTCTGATATGTTCCCTAAAATGTGATATTTTTTTCAAATGCAGCGTATTACACATGCACTGCAGATTTCACATCATATTATTGACGCTGGTTATGAGGAGGGGATTCGACATCCTTATCGACTTTACCAGGCTATCGAGAGTATGACGCATGTCCTTCAAGGTCAGCACATTGACGAAGCTAGACCTTGTTCTGCTGGACCTAGTTATACTGGAGGTCGCTTTCCATCTTCGACATTGACATACAGTTGTAGGCGTAGGCGTAGGCATACAGTTGATTCGTGACATGTTATTTGTTAGTTGATGAATTTTTTTGGGTGTTTTTTGTAAGATGATATTGTTGTAATGGTAACAATGGTTAATATTTTCTTATTAGAATGGAATGACATCAATGGTATTGTAATGACATTTTATTATTAGAATGGAATGGTAACAATGGTCGTTAATTTTGTAAATGATATTTTCTTATTGCAATGGAATGGTAACAATGGTCAATAACATTCAATCCAGATTGCAAAACAGAACACATCAACATAAAAAACACATCCATTAATTTCTTCTATAATTCTAACATTGTCAAATGCATACATGTGTCATGCGACATCAACAACATCAAATGTCTCTCGAGTAGCTACATTATCATGAATAATGTCCTTGAAATGTTGAATGCGACGCACATATGCATCATCCCAATCGACAGCGCAAGGGTGACGGTATTTTCGCCAATTAGTGGCTATAGAAGGAACTGGATGGCCTGGCTGCAACAAAACCTGCACCAAATATCAATTGAGTTAGTGGTCATACCTCATAACTTCTTGTATATGCACAAACCCAATTGATAAGTTTCTGTTACACCTGGACGAAATGATTTCCGTTGACAAACCCAATGGCAATCTCACGTCTATCAAATTGAGGTACTGGCACTATTCTAAGAGGTAAAAAGGTGAGACATTGCTGTAATGACAAGTGGTATAACACAAGATTGTAGCACGATGCAACAAGATGCCCCATGTCTGGCATAGTCATCCAATGTGAGTATCCAGGACTGTCTTCAAAGTATGACAATATGCTTGTCAATTCTTCAAACCTTTCGTAGGACCCATAAAGTGTAATGTATTCCTCTTTGTGTGTGTGCAGCTCACCCAACAGATCACGCCTAACCTGAGCCCAATCATCTTCTGTATGACCAACTGAAGCAGCTATAGCCCTAAAACCACAATTCCCATCTGCAGCTACATCCTTGACAAACTTAATGTATGGTTTCAACCCAGAAGGGAAAGCATCAACATATGCACCAGGTTTCACTGTTCTAGTAATGTATACCTTCCCTTTCGGATTCACCTTTTCCTTTTCCTTAACAGGTCACTTCTTCTTGGTTTGCAAAGTAGAAGCTAATGTAGTGATTTGAGTGTCCCTAGGTGAGAAGGAATCATGTCCAAATTGCACCAACTCAAATGCACACGGGTCACGATGGGTAGAAACATTGATCTTTTTATGATCCCGAGGACGTGTTTTGGGCTTCACCTCCGGTTCAACAAGACAAGTGCTTCCCGGATATACAATCTCTTTCAACTTCTTCAAAAGCTCCAACCACATGGTTCTATCACTTTCATTAAACTTGTTCACAAACAACTCTACTTCTGCATGATAACTCACCTCCGTTTCCTCTTCTTTCTTGCATATGGAGATATAAAGTTACCTCCGCTATAAGTGTATGGTAGCAAGTGGTATAGGACGATCTTCTCTGATGTAGTCAGCAATCTCAAGGGCACAAGGTAAACCATAAGTGTGGCGAAGGACGCATCCACAAGCTTCAACATCAATACCAATGGAATTGGCTCTCTTACTCTCTACAAGCAAATACTCCAATGCAGAGATAGACACATTACCCCGTAGCTTCCTGAACTGAGAAGGTTTAAATTGATGTTGCACAATAGTTAGACTTTTCTCAAATGAAGCCTTGATATTAGTGTGTTGCAACTCAAGCAGACTGCGTATTTTCTCAAATGATGCCTGAAATGAGACTTGACATGAACCCAATTGTCTTTTAAGTTTTGCATGTGCACTCTTAGCCCTGTTCAATTCAATATAAGTCAAATTAAAATCAAGTACATGGCACTTATTACTAACATACTGAAGAAAAGTAATCTTACCGGATCGTTGTAACATTGCCACAATGCATACACGTGTCTGTCCATGCCGCCACAAATTTGTCCTTGTAAGGAACCAACCAAGTATCCATGACGTATTTGACTGTATCAGGATAACTACTAAATTCCTTAAGTAATGATTTAAGACGCTCATCGTATTGAATTTCAGAAGATGAATACACTAAAGAGTTCCACTCATGGTTGAACTTCTCCCATTTCTGCTGTGTCTCAAACATTTTCTTACATTTGGTCAATACATTCTTACTGATATGCCGACGACATAATAAATGCCTGCCACTCGGGAATATCTTCTGTATGGCATTCATCAAGGCTAGCTCTCTGTCAGTAACAATAATTGTTGGCACAACAAAACCATCTATGCCATCACGCAATGTAGCTAGCACCCACGCATAGTTATCGACCCTCTCATACTGTAAGTATGCGAAAGCTACAGAGAATGTCATTTCAGTTGATGTCACTCCCACAATTTCAAGAAGATGAAGACGATATCTGTTGGTTTTATAGGTGTAATCCATAATTAATATACGTGAGAAAGACCGAAATAAGTCCAAACTGGTAGGATGTGCCCAAAACAAGTCTGTCATAGTCATCGTGGACTCTTCAGACCGATGGCGCTCAATGTAATTATACTTGGCCAATTCACCCAATAAGTGTTGCATCTGTGATCTTCCAGCTCTCTGTACCACCCTGTTTCGATGGCGTACATTGTAAATGGTTTTAAGTGTGCTTACATTGAGGGCATCTCGCTGTTTTAAGGTTACTAGAATTTCTTTTGGCCGAACCATGCTCTTTGACATATCTATTAACAATGCTTTCTCATCCTTTGATAGCCTCCCCGCATATGTATGTCCCTTAAGGTGCTTCGTAAGTGGATAATTATGCAATCCGCATACTACGGTCAATGTCCATTCATCACGTGTGGTAAACCTGTGAACCCTCATATCAAAAGGACAACCACACTTCTCCGTACCGGTTATTCTTGATGTATTGTTGCCATCATGTTTTAACTTTTTTGTCGCTCTATATTGGCCACTCTTCTCACAAGCAAGATACATCCTGGGTTTTTTTTTGCTTCCACCATAGTCTGATGTTTTGATTACAATGACCAAACCATTTCTCTTTCCAACTTCACGTACCCAGTTGAGCAATTCATCCTTACTTTTGAATACCTACAAAGTTAAATAAATATTATCAAACATTTACATTTGGTGAGCAATTCGAAACATAATCATTATAATTTCGTAGAGTGAACCTGTTCAGTTGTGAATTGAGTAGTGTAATCGAACATAAAATCCGCACAAACCTGACTTCCTTGAGTTGACGCATATTCCTACATGTTTTGTATAACATTACAAATTTTTAATGGCATTATAAAGATTAATGGCAATTCGAAACTGTAAATTTTTAATGGCATTATAACATTACAAATTTTTAATGGCAATTCGAAACTGTAAATTTGGTATGTAGTTTGCAAAATTGGAATATAAAATGGGAAATTTTTTTTTAACTTCATTGGGAAGTAGTTGTCCGAATTTATTTTAAAATTTTGGAAGTTGAATGTTGTAAAAGTTAACTTTGTTCGGACAAAAACTTTCGAATTTAAATACTTTGTTCGGACAACAACTTTCGAAATTAATTACTTTGTTCGGATAACAACTTCCGAAAATAAATACTTATTTCGGTAGTAGATTTTCGAACCAAATAATACAATTCGACTCTGGTTATCCGAACGACGCTGAAAAAAAGAAAAGAGAAACTCACATTTCCTTCGCTATGTTTCTCATAAACACTTATTTGCTGATTTTCAGAAAGCAAGGCCTCCATAACAATGATGTTTTCCCTGTAAATGAGGAAGGTTGATGAATGAGTGCATTGCGAAGCTACGAACTTGGAGCTTAATGGAAGAAGCTACGAACTTGGAAAAAGCTACGAATGAGTGAATACTTTGCTTTCACTTCTAGCTCAATGAAGCTACAAACTTGGAGACGTTTTGAATTGGATGGATGTGTGCATGATGCAACAGATGTGAACTCTAGATGGATGTGTGCATTGAGATGTTTTGAATCAACAATGATGTCTAAAATAGTAATTTCACTTAGGGATAAAATTGTAATAAAATTAAATATCATTAAGTGTGTGTATAGAGGGGATTTGGTGTGTGTAGATAGAAGCTCCCAGAGAATTGGTGTATTTATATCAAAATTGGTGTGAAAGGTCCAAATTGCCCTTTAGTTGGAAATGGATTAGATATTTTGGATTTAGTTTGAATTCAATAGAATGTAGGATGATTATGAAGCCTAATTGTGTACCAAAATATGTTCTAGGTAGAGTTAGGGCTTAAGTAAACTAACTTGGTTACAAGTACAAGACATATACATAATGTAATTGTACCTTAGTCAAATATTCTTCCTAAAATCAAGCAAATTTATCTCAAAAGTACATATAATATGTTAAAGGGGTGGTCGGCCCATGTGAAAGAAATTTTGGAGAATTTGTTATGATTTTTATGTACAATTTGAAAATATTTGTGTACAAAATTATTTATTTAAGAAATGTATAGAAATATATATATATATATATATATATGTAATGATGCTAGTTTGAGGTCAACATGTGATTCAAGAAAAATATGAGGGCTGAAATATTAGTTTATGAATTTGAACATTTAATTAAGTGTAATATTTAATTTAATTATGATTTAAAAATTCAATTCGATTAAAGTTTTTTTATTTCGGATTAAACGGTGAGTCATACTAATAACCGAAAACCTAAGATTTTTTGTGCGTAAAATATAATTAGAAAATTAATTTAATTATTATTATAGTTTTAAAAAGATTCTTGAGTTTCGAGTTCAATCAGGGTTTTCGTGTTTTTGGTTGGCGCGTATGTTCAACTCTATAACTAGAATTGAAAACAAATAAGGATTTGAGAGATTTTATTGAAATAATTTAAAAGTCAAGAACTTAATAGGTTTTACAAAAGTTAAGGACCTCATAATAAATAAATAAATAAATAATTTAATAGCTGTCAAGCCCCTAGATTGAAAGTATAAATTCCAAGCCCAACTTATTAAAATTTCAGACTAAAAATATTGATCCAACTCCACCCTATGACTAAAACAAGATTCTCAAGTCTTAGAAAAATAATACTGGACTGGATCAGTTGGGCCAATGCATGACACGATCAAAACCAAAAGCGTCCAATCTTGTAGCTTCTAGATTCTATTCTATATTTTAAAAATGGATTTGATTTCTCTAAGTGGTCAGGTTAGTCCCATTTTGAAATCAATTTCAATTATTTAAAATCTTCACTTTGTAACACTTGTTCGGTAAAGTAATCCTATTTGCCTACGTTTCGAGAGTGGGTTGGCTTTTTAGTTTTTTGGTTTTTTTGACTATTTTAGTCTGGACTAAAAAGTTTGGTTTGGGAAGAACTTTTTGATTTTTTGGCTTTTTTGACTTTTTTTGTGAGAGAAGAGTGTAATGATTATGGGTTAGATGTGATGTTTTGTTTTTTGTGACTAAAATAGCCTATTTTGTCTTTTGTGGCTAAAATAGCCAAAAAAGCCCCAAAATTTTCTTCCCAAACGTAGGCAAAAAATTATAATAATCAGATCATACTAGTTATATGTTTGAATCATATTTGTCTTTCAAAAAATTAGTGACAAATATAATTTCAAAAATAGTCATTCATTTTTTGTAATATAAAATTGATTTAAATAACTATCGATGTATGACCATATTGATTTTTTACATGAATATTTTACTTAATAAATCATAAAATATGAACGGTTTAAATCACCGAAATTGATCCCAAAATGAACGTACTAAACCCAAATTCTCCCTAGTTAATATGCTCAATTTAAAAAAAGTCAAACCCTAAAGAAAATGTCACTACAACAAAAAGCAGTTTTGGCGACAAAAAATGTAAATTTCGTCGCTGAAAGTAGAACAAATGGCGACTAAAATTGAATTAGTAGCCAAAATTGACCACTTTTGCCGACTAAAAGAGTTTAGTCGCCAAATATAAGGGTTTTAACGACTAAAAGGCAGTTTAGTCGCCGAATATAGGTGTTTTAGAGACTAAAGTTTGTTTAGTAGCCAAAAGTGACTGTTTTTGGCGACTAAAATAATTTAGTAGCCAAAAGTGATGGTTTTGGTGACTGAAAAACAGTTTGGTCGCCAATTATAGGTGTTTTGCCGACTAAAAATAATGTGGTTGCTGAAAGTGAAGCTTTTTGGCTACAAAAAAAATTAGTAGCTAAAAACAGTCAATTGGCGACTAAAGTTCAGTTTAGTAGCCAAAAGGGGACGTTTTTGGCGACTAAAAACAGGTTTAGTCGCCAAAACTACTTATTTTTAGGCGGAACTTAATTTTTTAGCGACTACAAAAAAAATAGTAGCCCAAAATTATAGAATCGGCGACTAAATAATAGATTTAGTCGCCAAAAGTGGCCTAAATTTTTTTTTAGTAAATAATTTATTTTTTACATAAATTATATTGAATAAAAATAATTGTATTTATATATATAGTTTTGTATTAATACCGGTCAATATACTATATAAATAATATCTATTGCATATACATTCATGTGATGTTGTAGTGGCATAGTGGAGGAAGTGTGTTGCTAAAGGTTTGGAATATGGGACAGGTTGGCGGTTCGAATCTCAGAAAAAGCAAAAAAGTTGGTATTTTTTTTTCCACGGAAACACCTTTGGCGACTAAAATTATTAGTCGCCAAAAGTCTTTATTTTGGTGACTAAACGGTTTAGTCGGCGATTCAGTGAGTATTGGCGACTAAATTATTAGTTGCTAAATGTATGATTTTCAAAAGTGTAAAACTTTGGTCACCAAAGACCTGTATTTTGGCGACTAAAAAAGTTTTAGTCGCCAATACCTCCGCCGACCACGTATACGCGACAAATGTGGCGACTAAAAAATTTTGTCGGGGAAAGTAAAATTTCGACTTTCGACGACAAAAGACGGACTTTTGGCGACTAAAAATTTAATCGTCAAAAGTGCTTTTTCTTGTAGTGTGTCATTTGACATTCTACTTCTAATTACATTCCTTTTAAAATTTTAAGATTCATTAGGAAATTGATCTTTTTGGTAACATTTTTAATTTTATAAAAATGTTAAAAAATAAATAAATAAAATGAATACACTTTTTATATTGATTTTTGACAAAAATGTTCGCTTTCCAAACATTCCTTTAATTTTATTTATTTGCACCCGCATTACCATAATAACAAATATGCCAACATCTTTACGCCTTAACCTGTCTAATCTTAACTTTACCTCCACTCTCAACTATCACTTCCTTCAACCACCCCCAAACCTCAGCTTTTGCCAACTATGACCCCTCCCCACCACCCCTCTCATCTACTATAACCTCCCTTTCTGGCCTCCTTCCATAACTCATTTTCCCTTTCCAAAATAAATAAATTAGATTTATTTTAAATGTAATTCACATTATACTGAATTTAAATTTATATTATAAATTTAAGTTTTAGATATATTTTTTTTTATTATTAAGTAGCACATTAAATGTAACGATCCGGACTGTCCTTTCTTAATTTGTGTCAAGAATGAGGGTGCATGTTAGAGATTGAAAGTGTCTATTGTGAAATCCATATGTAAAATAAATTTGAACCACATATTGATATCTCTAAATAATTTATGAGTATATTTTATAGATTTGTAGTATTACTGTTTATTATATGTATTTTTTTAAAAAGAGATGATTTATTTTCAAAAGAAAAATAAAGAGACAAAACAAAAGAGTAAGATTGTATTGTTTGAACTTATGGAACTCATCACAAGTTTAACTTTGATAATCTAATTCATTCATTTTTAAACTTATGATAAGCTTCAGAAGAAAATAAAATAACATGTATAATCTCAATTTTTATGATATTTTTTTCATCTCTAAGCACCATTGAATGGATCTCATGTTTAGAGTAGATCCCATTGTATGAAAATATGATTGAACGATAACAAGAAGAAGAAAAAAAAAAAAAAACTAGTATATAATAGTTGTAAGTATACAAAAGAGAAAATGAACATGGGCCCTTGATAGAATAGAAGATCCTATATCCGAGGTTTCTTCCCTTCCTCACAAAATCCCACCAACCTCTCTCCTTCCCTCTTCCCATGTTTCTCCATCTCTATCTATCAATCTATCATCATTCATTTCTAACCTCTCCTAAACCTTCTCTTAACCAGCCTCCAATGGCTGCTTCACCTCTTTTCTCCCCGACACCACCTTACTAAATGCAAAGGGCAGGATGGCCTTTCGGAGGAGCCCCTCTTCTTTCTCTCTCCTCGGCCTCCTGTCTCTCCTCCTCCTCCTCCTCCACCAACCCACCACCACCACCACCACCACCACTACCCCCCTCCTCCGCCTCCTCAAACCTTCCTCCTCCCCCGATGATGTCCCCGTGTTCCATGAAGCCCCCGCCTTTCGCAACGGGGACTTGTGTGAAGCAAACTACATCCATGTTGCCATGACCCTCGACGCCAACTACCTCCGTGGCACCATTGCAGCCGTCTTCTCCATCCTCCAACACTCCACCTGCCCCGAAAACATCGTCTTCCACTTCCTCTGGTCTCACTTCGACCCTGAAATCCACTCCAGCATAAAATCAACCTTCCCTTACCTCAACTTCAAGCTCTACCGCTTTCAAACCAATCGTGTTCGCGACAAAATCTCCAAATCAATCCGCCAAGCTCTCGACCAGCCTCTCAACTACGCGAGAATCTACCTCGCCGACATCATCTCCATTGATGTCAAGCGAGTCATCTACTTAGACTCCGATTTAGTCATGGTTGACGATATTTCTAAGCTATGGGAAGTTGAATTGGGTGACAAAGTTTTAGCTGCACCTGAATATTGCCATGCTAATTTCACCAAGTACTTCACCCATGCCTTTTGGTCGGACGTGGAGTTGTCGGGAACATTTGGGGACCGACAACCGTGTTATTTCAACACGGGGGTTATGGTTGTTGACGTCGATAAATGGAGAGAGGGGAATTATACGCGGAGGGTGGAGGATTGGATGGCGGTACAAAAGCATAAGAGGATTTACCATTTGGGTTCTTTGCCTCCTTTTCTGCTTGTTTTGGCAGGAAACATTAAGGGAATTAATCACAGATGGAATCAACATGGTTTGGGTGGTGATAATATTGAAGGTAAGTGTAGGAGTTTGCATCCCGGGCCTATTAGTCTGTTGCATTGGAGCGGGAAAGGGAAGCCTTGGTTGAGATTGGACTCGAGGAAGCCTTGTAATGTCGATCATCTTTGGGCGCCTTATGATCTCTACCATTCTTCTAAACATACTTTTGATGAGTAGAGTTGGAAATGGGAGGTTTTGGAGGGTTTGGTTGAAGAGAAAAGAGAGGATCTTGAGGGGGAGAGAGATGGTTGTGTTTTTAAATGGAGAGAATGGAGGGAGATTTATTTTTATTTTTGAAATCAAGTTTTTGTTGTATCGGCATTGGTACAATGATGGTGTCATTTGTGTAGAGTTATGAATTCAATCAGATTATCCATGTCCATCTCTGATTAAGGTATCTATATATACTAATTGTCTTCTCTAATCCCTACATAATTATATATATATATTTTTTTTATCGAAAATGATATATAAGACCGCTTTCTAAACCCAATGATATGTAAGTAATGAGAGAGTATTATCTTTAATATTTTAATTAATTACCACATCACTAAACTTAAAAATTTGGTCTAATTTTTGGTCTTGAAAATGCTATTTTCTTAATTCTTCTTGTTCTTCTTTTTCTTTTCTTGGTTTTTTTCAATTTAATCTTTTTGAAATTTTTTTCTACCTTATATTAACATGGGTTATCATGGTTTTGAGCGATGTAATTCAAAATTTTCAATGACACAACTATGAATTCAGATGAAAAATGGATTTTCCCCTTAACAACTTCAATTGAAGTGATTGGACCAGAGAGAGAGAGAGAGAAAAAATTCTTGCTGAATTTGGTGTGTATACAAACAGCATGTGAATGTCCCTGTCAAGCGAAAGGCGAAGGTGATGGTGCAGTGGTTGAGCCTTGCTCGTGACCCACTTTATCAACCCAATATGAAAACAACAAAATTTTCTGAAATTTTTAATTATTTTTTTACCAAATTAGTTTTAATGTTTTTCAAAAAACCAGATATTGAAACCGTAACAAAACAGATTTACTTTTACAATACCAATTCCATGAAGAAGATGAGTATCTTGGTACTTGACTTATGCAAGGAAGAACACACACTATTGTGGTTAAATAAACATACCCCAATGCAAACAGAGGAGAATATGAACAAATTCAGGTGTATAAAAGCTGATTTATTTATTTATTTCAATTTCTAACAAAGGCCAAAGGCCAAAGCCTGTGGATTCAACAGAAAACTATTAAACTAAATAAACTTATCATCAACTTATTTACACAAGCTTAAAGAGAGATAGATTATGTTTACTATGCATTCTAAGAATAACCCACCAGTGTCATGGTGGCAAAGCCGAGCCCCACCGCCACCATGTAGACTAACGCTAGTCGAGGCTGTCAGTCTTTGCCAAATCTTCTCTCTTTTTTGCAATAAATTTTTCTGATTTCTCATTTATACCATTCATAACTATTGCTCTCTGAGGCCGCTCCACTGTTTTGTCTTCAACCCCTGCTGGTGGTGGTGTCAACTTCTCAGGAACTCGAGCTATTGCCCTTGTCACCCGCTCAACCCGAAAATTTCCCTTTTCTTCTTTCACCGGAGGATTATCTTTCGTGGGAACACCGTGCTCTAACCCATTGGTGTGCCCAAAAAAAACCTTGATTTCAGAACTTGAACGGTCTATGTGGAGCTCGCTTCCCTCTCCTCCATGGTTGGGGGCTGGCTTCGCGTTGTGTTCAACAGGGATGTCAACTGATTCATGATCAGACAGAGGATGACCCGTGGTTACCCGCTTGAGGCTGCAACCAACGAGGCTATTCATGAAGAAACTGAAGAACCTTTCGCAGATGCCAAGATGCTGGACATCCTTGCCGTCCCTTCTCTGCATTTTGTTTGTGTGATAAAAAATGGTGAGATGAGACAAAAGACAGAAGCAGGTATTTAAAAACATGCATTTGAAATGTTTGATTCTAATCTTACAAGATGGGGAAACAAAAAAGTTGAGAATGCCATCTTAATCTTCACCCTTTTTGGAGGGGGGGGAAAAAAAAAAGGTTAGGAATCCAATAAAGTAGTTGGGAAAATGGCCAGAAAATGGAGTTTGCAATGTAAACTTGAAACTTTCCGTGATGTGTGTCCCACCCAGAATGAATAGGATCCACATATTTTGTTTCCCGGTAATTTCTCGAATAACTTTTTTCAGGTTCGGTAGCGTTGCTGCTCTTTTAAAACCGAAGAAGAAGGGTTCTCTCCCTGTATTCTCCCACCTTTAACCTGCTTTTAGTCAAAAGCAAAATGAAGTGGCTTCCCAGCATATGAGGGGCAAAGTCCTCAATTATGCAGTACTAAGAGAAACTAAAATTCTACCTTCCTTGAAGCCTGCGATATTCCTGAATAGGACCCAACACGCGATACCATCAATGACGTCAGATCTCAGGAAGCATCTTGCTGAATCTCTTAACTGTTTGATATCAGTCAAATTTTTGGTTTACAAGATTCTTGGCTAGTGTTTTTCACGCGAAACAATTTTTCTACGACATCATGTGAACAAATTTTCTTGGATACCAAACACTTCTTCCTGCATGACAGACTGCAATAATACAATCATACAAGTGAAAATGATCTGATGTGAAATTTGAAAAGATTAATTAAGAAAAAAAGAAACTTAAGTTATTACAAAATTCAGCACTCTATAAGGGCCGATCAAAACTTAAATAATCTCTAGAGCCCTACCACAACTGGCATTCAAGAAAAGCTAATACAACCAACACTAAAACTTAATTTGTTCTAATAAGCAAGGGTAGAGAAAAATAGGGGGAAAAAACAAATGCAAACTCATCTATCAGCACCCGGGCCTTGTTTGTACAGTAAGAGAAGCGCTTCTTGAGCTTGTAGCTAACTTTTTTTTTTTTTTTTTTTGCCCGGGTGCTGCCGTGGGACACCTCACACTATTTTTGTGTCAACGCTGATGTCAGGATCAGAAGTGGGATCCAATATGTGCATTTCAACAGGGGGAGGTAGTGTGAGAAGCCGGCCTTTTTGAGCACGCGGAGGAAGATGTTTTGCTGGTTTCCTTGATCCGACGGTCCAGGGTAAGAAGACTCCGGTACCACCATGTGGGATTGTTTTGGGGCTCAGAACCATCGGACGCGTTGGGGCTAACATGATCACAGGGGCACGGAGTACTCCCCATTTAGGAATCACATCCATTGCCTCGTAGCCATTCAGAACCCCATTTGGAGTTGCAAATGAGTTGGTGACGCCGGGTTGCCATAGAGTCATGGCTCTAGTCAGAGGAGGTACTGTTGACGAGTTGTTTCGGTCCATGTCTGACCGGACTCTGAAGAATGTGATACTCACCCTTTCTGTTGGAGACGGGCACATGACGTGTCTTGCCATGTCAGAGCTGTTTCCCCTCATGACTAGAAGAGACCTGTAGAAGTAACCAGAATTATGTCAAGTGCCAAATTCCCACACAGAATTAGGTGCATGCTCAACTCGAAATTTTAGCAATGCATGAATCCTAGAAAGAAGAAATTGTAAACAAAGAACTTAAATGAAAGGGACTTTTGAGTATACCCCTTGTTCAGTGAAAGCATGAGTGGCCCTTTATAATTCCCATCATTATCGCTAATGAGAGTTCGCCCAAATGCCATCGCTGATTCAGAGAGAAGAAGGGTAGAGATAGGTTGGTCCAAATGAGGAGGTTTAAGGAAAGGCTGAGAAAATTCCCCCTACATAAACAAGTATTAAGAACTCAGCTCATTTACAGTTCAAACAAATCAGGCACATTAAATGGATCGAACATGATAAAGCAGCAAGAGAATGAACATACCTCATCAAAGAAGTTAATGATGCAGCTATTTGGTTTTCTATTTTCTGAGATCAGATACCACTGAACCAGGTGATCAATAACGCCTTGAAGAAGAGTAGGAATTGGCTCGATATAACCTGTAAGCATAAATCATAATTACAAGGCTTTGGTGGAAGGTGAATGGAAAACTTGATTCTTGAAGATGAAAAATAAATAAACTTGGTTTGAGAATCTTGTCTAACTCTTTTCATGTTTAGTTGTTGCCTCCTCTTTTATCTGTCCAAAAATTGGAGCTCCGAGTTGAATTAACTCTCTTTTGTTCCCCTTTATCTGCTGGTTGTATAAAATATAGGACTCACCTATATATATCCATTCATATAAAATCTGATTAAATGTTGTGAAGAAAGATAACATAAAAGAGTAGCAGTAATCATCATTCTTCCACCACAAGAAAACATATTCTATCATCAAAGAATAATTGATACAACTAGCAGAGCCTCAAAACAGTATCAGAGCTAATTCCAGTAACAATAAAAAGATAAATACCTTTATTAAAGTTGAACTGCTAAAGTTTTTAACTTTTAACCACTACATTCATAATCTTATAGATAAATCACAATTTCAAGAGCACAACTAAAAAACTACAATTTCTTCCAAGAAGCGAGGTCTGCACCTCAATCTCCTACTTGAATGGCTAATTGCAGTTTTTGTACTTAAAATCCGCATCTGGATGAAACTCGATGAATGAGTTTCTAAATATAATCGTAATTAACAAGAATGAAAAGAAAAAATATAAAAAGCCAAACCTGCTCAACCAAAACTACAGAGGGTGTCCTTTACTATCTCAAAACCTTGGTCCCAAAGGAAACAACAAGTTTAATTATAAAAGCATCACGAAGCACGGAGATCCACCTGAGAGTTCACCATTCCGGCCAGCAACCCGAAGTTCATTCACGAAGTCATTCAACTTAGAAAGCTCGGAATTAGTGAATACGTCTTCGTACAATTTGAGACCTCTGACAACATTAACCTGCCAGTCCATTTGACTTTCAACCAATCCATACCAGCTATTTAGTCTTATACATAGAAAGATACTTAAAATAGTGAAAGAAAGAACTTACCATATGCCCTTTAACTGGCTCCTTGGCTACAAACCCTTTTGTCATCTTGATCTGGTCACGACGTGCCTCACAGTCTTCATGGTTAGAACACAAGTCTATGTTTTCTACAGTGGGCTGCACTTCTTGAGATCCTGCATTTCAAGAAGTAGAAATGGAATTGGAATCCACAATCTGATATTCTGATTCGAATTAAAAAAAAAACATAAAAAATAGAAGAAACAGAAGAACTGAATTTAAACATATGCTGATGAAATTTCAGTTAACAGAAATTGGTGTAAGCGGAACATACGTTGAGGTGATCTGTTGGCAGTTGGGATAGATCAACCCAAATTAACTTGAAATATTTAATTTGTTGCTTTAAAACAACTGTTATACCAACTATGCAATTCAAGTTTAAAGAATATTATAGCCATTCATTTTCCCTTCACACAGCTGGACTTGGTCAAGTTATCATTGCGACAGTAAGATGTTATTTGGCTTCTTAAACCTCTATTTCTTTTCAACTAAAAGAAAAACTTTCTATAACACAGTAATGTCAACTCAACTCAAATAGTTTTCCATTAACTTCAACTCAGGTTCAAAAGACAATTTATGGATATGCATGGATAATGTCAACAAACACTACGAATTAATTAGAAGGATTCATAACATAACAGCAAAAGAGCAATGCAAAAAGAAACATTCCACACTTATCTTGCCGAACACTTGCAAACCAATGCCATTATGCCATATGATTGACTCATTTGGTAATGCAGCAAATTTTGCCGGACACTTGCACTACCAATGCCATTATGCCATATGATTGACTCATTTAGGTAATGTAGCAAATGTGGAAGAATTTTTCACAAAAAAGATTTCTAATATCACTGAAGTTTGGCTAGATAGAAGAATAATAGAAACAAATATAAGTCATGAATAAGTAGGAATTCTGTATATCTTGCCTTTTTCCTTTTAAGGGATTTTAATAGACAGCATTGACCAGTAACTCTGAGATCACATTAGAAGAGAGCAAAAACAAGGGGTTTTAGTTTAAAGTCATTAGTATTAAGATTTTATAAGATAACGGGCATATAATATTTTCACAGAGAAATTTCTCTATGAAAGCTTCATAAAGAAATTTCAGCTCATTTCTTTGTAATTTCTGAAATTTTTCTGTGACAAGTTGTAATTTCTCTAATAATATTATTGAGAGACATTAACTAATAAGAAAAAACATATTAGATCTCTCCAAAAACAACTGGCCCACATACGAACACATTAAATTTTGTATCTCTGATTTGTAACTGCGTTGGTGGTTCAATCATCATTCTCTATTATTACTTGCCATTGTTAAATTTTATTCTTATATTGACTAGCATCTATATAATTGATTTTGTCCTTTCAAATCCGTAAATAGTCAACAACCATTGTTTCACATTAGTTCTAGCAACCCTATGTTTGAGGGTATCACCAATATATCCTTTTGAATGATTAAATCTCCTTACTCTATTATTTCTTAACTTCTAGCTATTTTGTTTATATTACTTGTATTATATATCGATATTTCTGTTATATGTAGCATGCACCTTTCATAATGACAAGTTTCTTTCGCCTGTCAAAAATAAGTAAACTAAAACACGATAAACTACTATTTTATGTCTTGAACTTGACATAATTTTTCAATGTCATCCAACAACTTCCATATCAAAATTAAACATCATATAGCTTATTGATGGAGGTGAGAAAAATTAAACTGGTTAAAGCTTGAAACAATTGTTTACCCAATAAAATATAACATGTTCTATATGCATGACAACCAAAACAAATTCCTTTCCTTTCCCTTGCTGTTGGAAACAAGTGTTTGCAGCTTTTTTTAAATGAAGGAATCTAGTGCCCCATGATTGCGGCCATGAATGCAGGGCATTGGTGGCGATAGGATTAAAATAGCAGTTCCATTTTATTCACCTACTTTCATTATGGGTGAAAGTTATCTTGGCTTTCTATTGGGGTCGATACTTTAGACCCCAGTGCAAGAAAGATCCCAATAGAAATCAGTCAGTAATGTGGGTAACAAAATTGTTTCCTAAAAACAGGAACCACACAGAATTCCAAACAGTAGAACTGGATAGCTTATCCAGCTGTCCAAACACCATCTATCCTAAGTGTGCCTGTTCAGGATCGCAGAACACGACCTACATACAGAGGAGATCGGGGGTTCATAAAATCTCAGAATTATAATCCAACAAAGAAACAACAAAACCGCTGCCAACATGAGAAATTATTAAGGGTTCATTTGGCATGGCCTTTGGGCTAAAATAATCATATAAGGTAAAATAGACTATTTTAACTAAATAGGATAAAATGTCACATTTAACTTATAATCATTTTATTTTTTCTCACAAAAAAGTCAAAAAAAACCTATCACAAACGATACTTTTTAACCCTAAACTAAAATTGTCAAAAAATAATAAAAACCAACTCACGTCCCAAACAAGTAAGTGTTCTTACTTCACTTCATTTAAGGATCTTTTGGCAAGTTAGTTAAAAGCTGGTTTCTCACCTATTACATTTTTTATTTACAAAAGGACAAAAAAATTAAAACAATCAAAGGTTTATTTTTATCCAGCTTATCAAATCATTCCTTACTAATTTAGATTTTAATACAAAATTTATGGGTTCAGATTAATAATCATTAAGGAAAATGTTTGCACCTTATAAAAATTTGTTATAATTTAAGTGCTAATTTATAAATTATTACACGCACCAGAAGAATACATTAATATCGAATATCACATGCAATAATTTCTCCACCAAGGATGAGATGATTTTTTAATGGGCAAATTACATATACACCCCTCCAGGTTTGACAAAATTACAGATACCCCCCTGAGGTTTCGGAAATTACATCCCGCCCCCTGAGGTTTGTATTTTCATAACAATTTACCCCCTGAGGTTTATATTTCATAACAAATTACCCCCTAATTTCTTATGCAAATATAGCATTCAGGGGGGAATTCGTAATTTCTCAAACCTCAGGGGGGTATCTGTAATTTAACCAAACCTCGAGGGGTGTATATGTAATTTGCCTTTTAATAAGCAGCAGCGGTCACACACATCTCGAGGTTTCGTTAGCCATTCAATTAATCGGAATTCGCTACTCCCGAAACTATAAGTAACAGTTAAAAAGGAACACAACACCTTTCAAACCTTGAAACATCAAACCCTTGCTTAAACCTCGGGAAATATATAAGCCTCGCATTGGTTATTGTGCGCGTATCTTAAAAGCTTTTTATTATTATTATTATTTTGAGAGTTTAAGGAACCGTTTGGAAAGATGATTTGTGATTAAAATGGTTATAAAAGAAAAATAAGTTATTTTAGTTATAACAAATAAAATATCACATTTAATCTATATATCATTATTCTTTTCTCACAAAAAAAATCAAAAAGTCAAAAAATCTTCCCAAATCAAACTTTTTAGCCCAAATTAAAATAGTCAAAAAAATCAAAAAACCAACCTACTTTCCAAACCAACCCTAAATTCTCATCATAATTTTAGAGAATGTATGAACTTGGAGGGCCATTTGTTGGGTAAAATATTTATTTAAAAAATTAAAATGATCAGATATTATTAATATTTATATATTTAAATTTATTTATATTTAAAAAAATTGATAACTCCCCATGTTTAATTTTTTGCAGTACTATTTACCTTACAAAATTTTAAAAATAAACCATTCGATCACTAAATTTGGTTCACAATAGGTCCACCAAATAATATGCTACCATTTTTTTGGCAAATGTTTGTATGTAACGAAATCTTTATTTTGTACAAAAAAAAAAAAAAAAAATTAAAATTTCATTCTTGAATTATAATTTGTGATAATTTTACTAAAAATTTAACATAATATTTATTATAAAAATACATAATTACATACCTATATAGCACACACTATAAAGGGAGTTCACTAATAACACAGGAAATTCTAATGAATAGAGAACTAACTATTTTAATTAATTTTTTACAAAAAAATTATAAAAAAAAGAGAGAATAGTTAACTTCTTAGTAATGACTTTTTGATTTTATGATTATTTTAACTAATCTCCAAACTTGCCAGGCTGTGCCTCCGTTTGGGAAGTGGTTGTATTTTTTGACTTTTTTGGCTATTTTAGCCTGGGCTAAAAAGCTTGGTTTGGAAAGGACTTTTTGGCTTTTTGACTTTTTTGACTTTTTTTGTGAGAGAAGAGTGTAATGATTATGGATTGGATGTGATGTTTTGTTTGTTGTGGCTAAAATAGCCTATTTTGTCTTTTGTGGCTATTTTAGCCCCAACCTTGCTTGCCAAACGGACCCACATATAAAACCTATTATATATTTTTGTAGAGTATGGTACGCATTTTTGTAATAAATATCATCTAATTTTTTGATTTAGTTACCACAATTTGTGATTCAAATATAAAACTACACATTTTTGTAATAGTATTAAACTTTTTGTGGTTAAAAAATGTTTCAATAAAAAAATATGTAATATTATCACAAAAATCCATAACATTACTAAAAAAATGTATAACTTCATTTTTAATCACAAAATTTTTGTAACTTTGTTAATAAATTACATAACATTTATTATAAAAATATATAATAAGGTGTGTACCAAAACATGACCCATAATAATATACATAAACAAAAAGTAACATCACATGATAAATAAAATATAATAAAATTGGTCATACATACCCTCAGTTGAGTTTTGTTTTTTTGATTTTTTTAAAATAAAAAATTAATGTAACAAAAATAAACAAAAAAAAATATTTTTAAAAATTTATAAAAATTATTTCCCGGCTAAAAAAATATATATAAAAACAATGAATGTTTTTATTTTAATTTCATTTTCACTAGCTAAATTTTAAAATTTGAAAAAAAAATCTAGAAACTCAACCAATCAAACTTGTTTGGAAAGTTCGCTATTATTAGTTTTGACTATTTTAGTACACTAAAATTTTTATAAATTTCTTGGATCCAGCTTGTCTCATGTTGAGATCAAGATTGAACTGTCTAGTTCGGCCCATGGAGTCCATTTTTGGGTCTCATTTTGATAATTCAAACCGTTCAATGTGTAAAACTTATTGAGTACTATATTCCTGTAAAAAA